GCTGCTGCACCGGGCTTGTTGGAGCATCCTAGTAACATCACTAACATGGAATACCCACACTGATTGCCCGAACAATCTTGGTTGCCTGGTATAAATACCAGCTTTAATGCTTTAAATACCAGAACAGTTCTTCTCATTCATAAAACAGAATTTGCAACTGTGCAGCTGGCAACTTTTCCATCAACTACGATTTTGTGCCTTTTCGCACCACCCAAGCTGGCGAATCGGCTCATCGTACCGATAGCTTTTTTGCCGATTTTAAAAGCATTTCAAAAGGGGCGGGTGGGGGATTTGAGAAATTGGGTCTGTTGATATCCCTCATACTTACTTGAGTATTTGAACAGCAGCTGTATATGTCATCAACGTTCGTTGTCATGCCATCGATGTAGCACCACTGGCAATTTCTCCGCTCAACTCGTTGTTGCGCTCTCCGAGTCCACGTGATAACTGTACAGGCATACCATGGGGCCTCTCCACCTCACTGATGGCCTCCCCACTCCGTTTCGTCTATCTGTTATCTGTCATCCGTGCCATATGACCAGCCCATCTCTTTTTGTACTGGCCTACATTGTTTCGATAATGTCTTTCATGCCAGGTCTGGCTCATTAATAAAATTTTAAAGCGAGCTTGCTTTGAAGATGTCCTGCATGGCTGGACGCGCTCGGTGTACGACGGGTCTCCGAGGAGGAGCGAGTGACGATGCCGACAATCGGAAAGCGCAACTGGAAGAAATCGAATCAGTTGAGGCTATCTACGGCGACCTCATTCATCTGGAATCGCCAACACGGCTTAGCGTTCATTTCACTAACGATGTGCAACTAATAATTAATCTTCCCGAGCAATATCCTTCATGGTTCGGCTTTCTTTTTTTATACCATTAAAAAAAATGGATCTTGTTTTTTTTAAACCAAACACCCAGTGTGAAAATTTCAGTCTTCTGTCTTGTCTGGTTCCCGAAATCGTTCCCTGCCTGTCTTCTCTAGGCTGCCCGGTTGGCGCAATTTTCACAGCAAAGTGTTGAAACTGAAATTGCTGTTCATACCCCC